CCAACCCACCTCCTTCAGAGGATTGAGGAATTGAGCCAATTTTCATAAGCTTGCACCACACCACCCAGCAGGCAGGAGTTAGTGAGACTCCGCATTACAGTGTCACCAGCTACTACGGGGAGACCCTCCAGCCTGGGTGTAACTGAATTGCCAGGACCCATCAACAAGTTGCAGGTACCCTTGGGGGAGGACACACAATTGAAGTTACTATAGTCAAGCTGGTAAATTACGACGATCAAGTAGGATGACACACAGGGAAGGAATTCTATTTGGTTTTAACTAGACTAGAAACTCTCACTTTTGAACTTTCCAGTCCTGTGTCAGCACCTGGATATACATCAAACCTCCAGACAGACCTCCGCTTACCACCTGAAGGACTAATATAAGAATGTTCACAGAGCCAGACCACATTACACCCATTTGACGTGCTGGAGATAAACTCAAGTAGGAGTGCAGGGTAAGACTGCTTGCTCACCATCAGGGGTCAGAGATTTGGCAAATTACTTAGTGTTTCTAGGCCTCAGTGTCCTCCTCTATAGAACGGGCTTGTGTATAAAACCAACCCTATTTCTTAGGGTTCATGTTGTGAGGGTATTTGAGATTGATAAAGAAAGCTAGCTCCCTGGGGAGTAAGTGCTCGGTAACTCAGGGTTTCTATTTTGATCATTATCACACTTGTGGGAGAGAAATACATTTCCTATATATTTCTAGGGTTTGGGGGCTAGTCTAATAATTCCATTCACAGGAGCCAGGTTAACAAGAGAAAAATAACTAGATCTAATTACATATATCCAAAATAATAATTACATATATACATATGGGAACTCCACATGCATGAGAGAGTCAGAGACAGAAAGGTATAATGAGGGATACATGGCATCCTGAGCCAAGGAATGAGGTAAGCTCCTTGGCCTTCTGAAGAGAGGAGGGTCATTGCAGATTGATAAAAAGACCAGATAGGCTTTTGGAGCATTATCTCAATCCGCTGAGGTTTTGCTTCCTCAAATTGTCAACAGTTTTGGCTCAAATAAACTCATTAAAAAATTCAAAAAAAAAATTTTTTTTCAAAAAAAAAAAAAAAAAAAGACCAGATAGATGTTCAGTAATTAGATGTTGGCCCTGCCCCAGATAGAAAAGTGGTAGTTATATTTGGTAATAACTCTTACCTTACTTGGAAAAAACCCACATTTAAATTTTCTAAGGGAGAGATAAAAGCTTTTCTTGAATCACAGGGTCAGGATTGCCTTCAGCACAAAATAGTTCACATGCCAAAGTAACACATCCTGGGGAGTTTTCTGAACCCTTAAGTCCCAGATTTTGGAGTGATAGACCTAATTTGTAGCTATTTGTTGACCCATCTTTGAGTTTCTGATTGAGGACCAGGTGGTTCTCTGGTTACCAAGGCAGGAGGATGTCAGAATCTGACAATGAGGGTCATGTTTGCAGAAGCAGAATGGAGACTATCTATAATACATGGACCACAATCTTTCTAGATTTTATTGTGGTTGCCTTTGCACAAGATTCAGCTAAGGCATTTCCCTGAACTCAGGCTCAGTCCTCTTAGTGGTTATTTTGACAACAGACAACATTTTCTGCCAAGAGATATCAGACTTCTAGTAATTTTACACAGTTTCTAAAACACTTCTACCGAATACCTACACAGATGCAGCACAAAGAGACTTAATGCTTGGATACTTGACTAAATAGTATTATGGATTAAGAAACAATACTTATTGGAGAAACCAAGATGGCGACATAGGTAAACACCTAAACTGCTGCCATACACAACAAATTCAAAATTACAACTAAAAGACAAAATGGACATCATCCAGAACTACGGGAAGGCTGGCTAAGTGGAAATTCTACAACTAGAAGAGAAGAGAAAAGAAAAGCATACTGAGTCTCACAGCAGCTATGGAAGGCAGAGGTATCCGGGCAAGCGTGCAGAGAGGGCTGGCAGCTGAGTACGTGGCTGGCTTTCTCAAGCAGGAGGGAGACAAAAGTTCCCAACTGCTCTGAACTGCAGTTCTAGGTGAGATGCTGGGGACCCAGACTCATACAGGGAGAAACTGGACTGTCTGGCAGCAGGCAAAACTCGAGGGCAGCTGTCTCTCAGAGCTGCTTGCAGCGATTACTATGGGACACTGAGACCCAGGGGCCTTTTAGGGCTGGGCTGGCAGGAAACCATTGCTGTTTGCTCCGCCCTGAGACTCCGCCCCATCCAAGCTGAGCACAGAGGCTTTTGCAAGTCTTCTCCCATAAGGGTGTCTCCAGCACAGAAGTTCTGTGCTGATCCTCACAGCCTATTGGCCTGGAGGTCAATTCCTCCCAGTGATATCAACAACAATCAAGGCTTAACTACAACAAGACTGTGCACACAACCTACAAAGGGGTGCACCAAGAGTGTCCACCTCAGGTAACTGGGGAGGCTGAGCCACTGGGCCCTATAGGACACCTAGCACGCAAAGCCCCTCTACCAACTCAGGGAAGCAGCCAAAATGTGGAGACAAAGAAACAGATCACAAATGAAAGAAATGGAGGAAAGCAAATCACTGGATATAGAATTCAAAACCATGATTATAAGGTTTTTCAAGAATTTTCTATAAAAAAGATAAATTTAGCGAGGTCCTCAAGGATATGAAAAAGGACCAACTAGAAATTAAGCATACACTGACTAAAATAAAAAATATTATACAGATATCTAACAGCAGACTAGAGGATTGCAAGAATCAAGTCAAAGACTTGAAATACAAAGATGCAAAAGAACACTCAACTGGAAAAGAAAAAAAGAAAAAAGAATCCAAAAATATGAAGATAGTGTAAGGAGTCTCTGGGACAACTTCAAACGTACCAACATCAGAATTAGGGAGTGCCTGAAGAAGAGAGAGCAAGATACTGAAAACCTATTTGAAGAAATAATGACAGAGGACTTCCCCCACCTGTGAAAGAAATATTTACAAGTCCAAGAAGCACAGAGAACCCCAAACAAAAGGAATCCAAAGAGGACCACACATCATAATTAAAATGCCAAGAGCAAAAGACAAAGAGAGAATATTAAAAGCAGCAAGAGAAAAACAGTTAGTTACCTACAAGGAAGCACCCATATGACTGTCATCAATGTTTCTAACTCTCTATCCCTCTCTCTTCCTCTCTGTAAAAAATCAATAAAATATATTTTTTTAAAAAGAAAGAAAGGGAGAACTGAGCACCTGCTATGTGCCAAGTCAGAACTAACCATCCTTTTCTTCTCTCTCAGAAAATTGAATCAAGCCTTCCCTGGCTCACTGAATCACAGCACTGATTCCATATGTTTTTGGTTTGTGTGCGTCTATCTCGCTGATAACTCGATAGTAGAGATGTAGTAACAAAGAGTTGGATTCTGGTGGATTCTGAAGGTAAAGCAGACTTGTTGATGGGGTCCACAGGGGGTGTGAGAGAGAAGAATCAAGGATGACTCCAAGGTTTTTGGCTAGGGCAACTGGAAAGAGGAGGTGCCATTAACAGAGATGAGCCGACTACAGGTGAGCATGTTTAGGGTGAGGGTAGCGAGCATCATAAGCTCAGTTTTGGAGATATTATATCTGAGATGCCTCTAGCCACTCAGTGCGCGTGGCAGCCTGGATTCAGGGAGGCGGTCTAGGCTAGGGATACGGAGTGTTGTCACTGCACAGATCACATGACATAGTAAGGGTGTCATTTCCAGGTGCGGCCTTGGCAGGGTATAAAAGACAGCCAGGCCACAACTCCATGCTCCATGCAGACTGCCAAGACGATTTACCGTCAGACATCCACACGCCTGGGCCTTCACATTTACACGCTGCTTATTTACTGCTTTGGGAATAAACGCAAGTCAAAGTGTCTTGATTAAGTTGCTCCCTTCGTACTCACACATAGATGAGCACATCACTTACGTGTTCTGAGGGCTCTTAGGAACCCTCAGAGACAACCTAAACAGTCCCATTTGTGTTGGCTCCATGAGCATCACTACTACCATTGTGTTAAAGACAGTTGCACTCTTACTTGTGGGGTCCACCGGTGCCCCTCATCCTATCCATCCCTACCCCTGGACTCCAAGTCCCACGCCAGAATAGCCTATATCCTTTCATACATTTATCATTTGCTAACTGAGCACTTACATGTCCTGACCTATGTCAGGTTCAGCCCCTGAGCCACTAAGCCCATAGTCTAATGAAAATGAAAGGAAAATAACACCCAGGGTGATAATGAATATGTAAAGGCAAGTTCAGGGAGCTGTGGGAGAAGGAAGGGGCACCCAGAGCAGTCCTCAGGGAAGACTTCCTGGAGGAAGCAACTACTCATCTGGCTCGGGCAGGTGAATAGGGTGTGTGGTTGGTGGAACAGGGCATTCTAAGCCAAGCCGCTATGACTGGAGGGAGGGACAGACTGCAAGTCACTCATACAGTTGATGCCACTTGTGCCAGAGGAAAAGAAGGAAGACAGGGCAGGGATGGGCATCCACCTAAGGACCTGTTTTACAGGAAACCAGAATTATATAATCAGAAGTCTTCACCCCAATGGGCCTGGCTTCAAGGCCCATGGGCGCTCTAAGGACCACCTGCAACACAAGCTCATGAGGAGCCTGATAAAAACCTGAAGGCCAGGCTACACCCAGTCCAACTGAATCCACAGGGTCTGGACCCCAGAAAGCCGCATCATTTTCACTTACTGGTGGGAAACAGATAGTTGTGGTGATCATTAGAAAACCACCACACACAGCTCCCGCCTCTGCAGCTCTGCCCTTGCTGATAGGGAACCAGTTCTCAGGGCCCTAGAAAAGGCGCAGGATGATTCATTTTCATGGTCATGGATGTGCTTACATAAACGCTCCCAGCCAAACCCAGGGAGTCTGGGAACCACTGTCAGAGGAGGCCAGTAGGGGAGGAATAAGCAGACTGGCTGCAGTGGGAGGAGATAGGGGAGTTTAGCAAATAAGCCCTAGTCCCCAGTTCTTCCCAGTCCTAAGGAGACAGGAGGCAAAGAACCAAGGAAGCAGCCAATTTTATTCCACAACCAGTAAATCCCATCTACCACACCACCATGGCAGCTCGGCCGGGACGTAGGCCAGTGCCGCCCGAGAGAACTTCCTGCGCTGATGGGAAGTGCTTGCCCGATACAGCAGCCACTTAACCACTTCTGGTTACTGAGCACCTGAAATGTGGCTAGCACAGCGGGGGAAGTGAAGCTTTAATTTAAGTTAATTTAAATTCAAACACCACGTTGGCTCATTGCTACTGCACTACGCAGTGCAGCTGTGAACCCCGGCCTAGTCCGGGGGCAGTGCGGGAGAGCAAGTACCAGAAACGGTCCGTGGGGGTCACACCGCCCCTCCCCAGAGAGAAACAGCAGCCCCTGCTACGAAGGGTCGGGTCTCAGGGTCTCCGAGTCTCAGAGGGGGGGGACGCCGCGGGCCCGCCGGATAAGGTTGGCCAGCCTCTTGGCCAAGCCGCCCGTCCTGGGCTCCTCGATGTGGAAGGTCCGGGTGAGGAGATTGTAGAAGGAGCCGTAGCACACGGCCACCACGGTGCACGTGAGGCAGATGACGTTGTAGGGCATGCTGAAGTCTGGCGTGGGCAGGTTCACCAGCAGCGGCTCCGTGTAGAGCCGCAGGAAGTAGCTAGAACTGTCGGAGACTGGGAACCTGGGGGTCAGGAGGAGTGGTGAGGCAGGACCCCTGCTTCTCCCTATCGTACCCCGTCCCCTCGGGCTGCACTGGCCAATGCTTGGCGGTCGGGATTTTCCAAGTTCTCTTAGCCTCCCAACCTTTCCAACAGAAGACGCCCGAGATGAAGGTCAATGCGCAAAGCGGACGGGGAGCTGCCTGTGCTGGGGGAAAGGGCCCTGCCCTCACGTGGCTGCCTCCTCCATAGCCGTCCGCTCTCAGCTAAAGGCCGTCTCCTCAGAGAAGCCTTCCTGGATACCAACCAGGACACTCCCAGCACCACCTGGGCCCTCGCTGCTCTCTAGAGCAGACCCTCCCCTGGCGGTTCTCAGGGCCCCGAGAAAAGGCGGAGGAAGATTCATGGTCATGGTCATGGATGTGTTAGCAGTAGCCGGGCAGGGGCAAGTCTTTTGTTTACTGTTGGGCAGCCAGCGCTCTCTGGAGTTCCTGGCATTCTGTAAGTGCTCAACCAAATACTTGTTAAGAGCATCATTGAGTAAATATAGGCTTTACACACTGCTTTTCTCACCTATCTATCCTTCTGGAAGCTTTAGAATCATTTTATAAAGTCCGTATTAACATTACAGACCACGGGACTCTCATTAAGACAGAGTGAAATCTCCACGTTGCTGGGGAAGAGGCAACACTGAGCCCAGCCCCCCTGCAGGAACCGGAGGTCACACTTACAGGCTGCTGAAGAGGGGACTCTCTTCCCAGTCCACGGGTTTGGCTGCCACCATGCTGGGCACAAGGGCACTGAGGACAGACGGACTGCAGAGAAGCAGGCAGGTGGGTTGGTGGCAGGTAAGGTGGGTCAAGAGGGCGGGGGCAGCAAAGGGGGGTGGTGGCCCACCTGACGTAGAAGCCATGGTTAGGGTCCGGGGTGTACTCGGTCCACTTGAGCAGCGCCCGCTCAAACTGGATGGAAACCTTGGTGACCGAGCTGGCCGGCAGCTGAATGAGCATCTCCAGGAGGTGGGGCTGCAGCCGGTCCTGGGCAGGCTGGTAGTGGATGTAACCTGGAGACAGGCAAGGCTCAAGCATCACCCATGCCTCCTCCCTGGTTTTAGACTACCTGCACCTCCTCCCCCACCTATAGAGGCCTTGAGGCCCGGATCCAGGCTCTGGATCTGAGAAGCCGGGCAGGCTCAGGGGAGGGAGCAGGGTCTCAAAAAAGGAAAAAGATGTTTCCAGTGCAGCCATCCAGGCAAGCAACTGATCAATCTTCACATCACCAAAACTGGGCAGCAGACACCAAGGGCCAGAAGTGATGCAACAAGAAGTTCACAGAACCACCTGGGCATTCTCCTGCCAAAAACAGGGAACCTGCATCTAATCAAGTCCCTAGTACTAACCATCCATACCCAAGAAATACAGGGATGGAGGAACACATAAACATTGACAGAACAAATCCAGAAAGTAGAACATTCTGTACAACAAATGACCCAGCTTGCCCAATAAAACAAAACAAGGAAACCATTACAGATTAAAAGAGACTTAAGTCCTGGCAGAGTAGCTCGGTTGGTCAAAGCCTCATCCCAATATGCCACGCTAAAAAAGTGGGGGGTGAGGAAGAAGGGGATGATAAAAAATGAGAGGAAGCTGGAGAATGCTGAAGCTACTGGCGGGTGCAGGGGAGCTGATTACACTATTCCAGCTGTATTTGAAGTTTTCCAGAGCAAAAGGTTAAAAAAAAAAACCTACAAAATATTATACACAGATAGGCTGTTCAAAGCAGGTATTTTGAAGGTGGTACAAGTGGTGGTGCTGACAGTAAGTAAAACTATTAAGCACAGGCTTGAAAATACAGGGTTTCGCCGAGACCAGTTTGGCTCAATGGATAGAGCGTCGGCTTGGGGACTGAAAGGTCCCGGGTTCGATTCCGGTCAAGGGCATGTACCTTGGTTGCGGGCATATCCCCAGTAGGGGGTGTGCAAGAGGCAGCTGGTCGATGACTCTCTCATCGATGTTTCTAGCTCTCTATCTCTCTCCCTTCCTCCCTGTACAAAATAATAAAATATATAAAAAATAATAATAAAAAAAAAGAAAAAAAAAGAAAATACAGGGTTTCAAGACGACGTGAAGCCTGGCCATTGGTGTGTGCCATGATTCTCCCTGAGAAGTCCTTTCTGAAGCATCAGTCTCTGCCCACTCCAGAGAACAACAATGATTTAGTGCCATCCTGGCACCTAACAAAAGCAATCAGGAAATATTAACTCCCCTTCAGAAAAATAATGGAAAATAAAAATAAATTTTAAAAACGACACTTCTTCCCTTCCCAAGGAAGCAAAGACCATTATCTCCAGGCTTGTAGTCTTCTTTATTCCCAATACTCCGTTGTTCTTGCTAGCCCTTCCACTAGCAGAAAGAGGCAGTGAGCCATCACAAAAGACTGAGCCTGGGCCCCAGGAAGGAGAAAGGGAAAAAGAAAGGAAACTACTGCCCTCCTCAGGTCAAACTAAGAATCACAATCTGAGTGTTGATTTTTTTTTTTTTGCTTTATAAATTACTTCAGACCTGGCATTAGTGAGGCTACCCTTTCCATTTGTCAAACTTATTCCCAACGTTTTCTGCCTGTGTAGTTTTTCTGGGGTATGGACTTCAGGAATGACCCTGAGAAATGAGGGTTTTGGGGGACCTGGAGGGAGAGAGAGCGAGGTGGGCAGGGTGGGGAGACTCAGCTCTCACTTGGCTTGTTCTCCTTGCCCTTGGAGGTGATGGTGAGGGTGTGCACGTACAGCCGCAGGTACCAGGGCACGATGTCCAGGAGCAGCACGGGGAAGGCCCGGTACGGGTGGGTGTTGTACAGCAGCGTGCTCAGCTCCCCGCTCTGCAGCCCGTAGCCACTCACGTACCGCTGGGCGTGCAGGAAGGGCACTGGCGGGGCCTCTGTGTAGACCAAAGTCAGCAGTTAATAGCGCCTATAGGACATGGTCACTCCCACTGCACTCCCCAGGTCTCCCTCAGGGTCTCAAAGCCAGGAGGACTTGGTGAAGAACTTTACTATCAGAATAGGGAAGCCTGTGTTCTGGAATCATCCCCATCTTCCCCAGCCCACAGCAATATAAAGTCACTATTATTTCCTAAATACTCGTATGTGCTGAGCGCTGTGCCCTGCCAACCATACCAGGTGTTCTCATGGTATTCTGCACGTTTCCTGGGTAACAATGAACACAGCTGCAATTGTTGGATGTCTACCTCAAGTAGCAGACATTGTTTCTCAGATGCAGATACTCTCTTCTGTCTTCAAAAAATGTTTGTTGATTAAATGCATGCATGAACGAACTCCATATTTTACATTACGTATCTCATCTAGTCTGCGAGGTGTTTCTGTCCCCATTTTCCAGAGGAGCACCTGCCCAAGGCCAGAGAGCTTTGAAGACATGGATGTAGAACCAGATGCTGACCCTAGAGGTCTGAGTCTGACCACTAGCCTGTTCTCTCATGACGATGAGCTGACATCTCAGTGTGTGAGGCCCACCCTCACCCACCATTCTCTGGGGGTCTCCTCCACTTGAGCTGGAGGTTGAGGTTGCGGGAGCTGTTGATCACGGCCGTGTCAAACAAGTCGTAGACAGCATAGGTCCTCTGGGTGCCTAGGATGACATCCTGGTATGTGCTGAGGGGAGGCGGGTTCATCTCCAGAGTCTCATTGTCCTGGGGACACAGGGCAGGGCTGAGAAGTGAGCGGAGGGGCAGACTGGCGGTGGGGGTAGAGCATTGGGGATGGCTGGAGACCTTGGTACCTGGCTGTAGCTGGTGATGTCCACGTACACTCGGCTCTCTGAAGCCAGGGGGCAGGGCTCTGTGAGAGTTCGGGAGAACATCCGGAAGAGGGACCAGTCTGGGGAGAAGAGAGCAGGGGCTGGGACTAGGACTGATGTGCACAGACAGGGTGCGGCTGGCAATGGGTGAGAAGAGGTAAGTTGCCATGGTAGCTTACCTTTCTTCCCCTGCCCCGTGACGAAGGCATCAAACACAACGGAAAGAGTTTGCCTCAGCTCCCAGGAGATGCTGGTACAACGAGCATTCTACCCAAGGGCCAGACAGCAGCGATGAGGACATATCACTCCAACCCCAGAGCCTCAGGGACTCCCACCCGGACAGACGTGGTCCCTACAATGTATCTTCCTACCCATCGATTTGCTACCACTCGCTACTGAGCACTTGACCCTGTGCCACACCCTGTGCCAGCAGCTTTACGCAGCAGCTGAAACCACCGCCAACAACCGTGGGAAGTACTACTCCATTACTCTCACTTGGCAGATGGGGAAACCAGGCTCAGGAAACAAAATGACTCACTCAAGGTCATGCCGGCCGGGGAGCGGCGGAGCTGGCAGGTACACTGCGCAGCTATTCTGAACCACGGAGCTCCGTGACAAAGATTTCTTGAATGCTTGCCAGGCAACCACTTGGTTTCCTTGGTGCGTGGCCAATGCCCCCAGAAGTTATCACTGTATCTGCCATTTACTACTGGCTCGGCCTGGGCTATGTGCTTTGCCTGCACTTTCTCTAAGAGCCTCTGGATGGCACCCACCCCCATTCGCCATGACTTACTCTGCAAATCGGGCGGATGTGCACTGCCTGGGAGTGGTAGCTAGTGTGGAACAAGCGCTCAGCCTTCAGCAGCATGGAAAGGCCTGCCTGGAGGAGGCGGGAAGAGAGGAAAAGTCAGTGCGCTGGGCACCTGGGCGTGAGGCAGAGGCTATCTGCAAACACCTGGCTGTCGGCAGAAAGGGATGTGCTAACTCCATCCACTCTCTGGGGCTCCCACTGCGTTCGGACAGCTCTGGCCTCACCTTGGAACTACAGGGCAAGAGCTTCTTCCAGGGCGTGAGGTTCTCGGTGCAGACAACCTCCCGCGGCAGCACAGCGTAGCGGAGGAAATGGTGATCCGTGTCTGAGGAGACAGAGGGCTGTCTGGGTGGGCCTTGAGCCCCCACTCCTCAGGACCCACTCTCCTGCTCCCCATACACCGCTCTGGCGCCACCACCCTAACAGTCCCAGCTGGGAGCGGGACCCTCTCCTCCCCGGGAGAAGGCAATGCACAGATGGCACAGTCTTGGGAAGCCTTCTGGGCCTGCACACCCAGGGGATTTATGATCTGGTCCCACTGAGGAAAGAGGAAGCAAAGGTTTGGGCAAGAGGTAACAGGGAGAAGGAAATGGCCACAGGGCTTCTCACCATTGGCCAGCCCCAGGGGTTTGAAGGAGGCAGTGGGGGTGACCGTGTTGGTGGAGTCGATGAAGTTGAGAGAGGCGCAGAAGATCCCCGAGAGGACATTACTGAGCTCCTTCCAGGATGTATCCACACTGGATGGAGACACAAACCCCTCACTGTCCCAGAGCTGCTTCTGCTGCCGTCCCAGAGCCTGCCCCAAGCCTGCCTGGCTGCTTCACCGTTAGACCGGCTAGCTGACGCAGCTGGAACAGCATCACTGCACCTACTCGGCCCCTTCCTCCTTGCTCCCTGCAGCCACTCAGCTCTTTGCTCAGGTGATTCCTCTTCCTGCCCGGGAACGCCCCACTCATTCCTCTCTGCCCACTTCCAAGGAGGCCCCCTCCTCAACCACTGCCTCCACCTGGGCTGCTGAGGTTCTGACCATCTGAGCCTCTCCCTAAGCTCTCCTGGGAAACGGCTAAGGGGTGGCAGCATCTTGTCCTCAGCATCACTTCTCCTCAACTAGGATGTAAGCAACTGAGGACAGGGAGCGAGTCGGATGTGTTTCACCACCATGTGAAGTGCCCCACATCTCCCAGGCTGACAGCACTCACTGATCCATACTTCTCTGTGACCCTGGGCAGGAAGGTCATAGAGCCTGGGTTCTACGTTCAGGGTGGGAAGTCTTACATCCATAAAGATTCACGGAACAAGAGAAAACAACTAATCTGGGATTAAAAAAAACAAACAAAAAACACAGCAATGCCGGGACCGGTTTGGCTCAGTGGCTAGAGCGTCGGCCTGCGGACTGAAAGATTCCAGGTTCGATTCCGGTCAGGGGCATGTACCTTGGTTGCGGGCACATCCCCAGTAGGGGGTGTGCAGGAGGCAACTAATCGATGATTCTCTCTCATCGATGTTTCTAACTCTCTATCCCTCTCTCTTCCTCTCTGTGAAAAATCAATAAAATATATTTAAAAAAAAAAAAAAAAAAAAAACCCCGCAAGTCAAATCAGGTGTTTTTCTCATAGAGAAATACCAAAAACAGATCTGTTCTCTATATTAATCATGTTCTCTATATTAATCATAGAAAGCGTAAAACTAGAAATCTAAACATCAGCTCCATATTACAGGCAATTAGGAGCTGAGGGAAGACAGTGACGGCCGAGCAGGTGGGGGAAAGACAGGGGCTAACTAGTGTTCAGGGAGAAGCCATTAGCAAGTTGTGGGGGCACTGCTTGCTCCTCATCTGATATCACCTTAGTGCTGTCCTGGGTTTTTCTGATAATCCTCCGTTCAGGGCTTTTCAATTGCTCCAAGCTTCAAGTCTCATATAAAGATTGCACACTGGAAGCCTGAAAGCTCTACCCAAACCAAAACCGTGTTTCATTTGGGATGCACAACACTGATCCACATGTCTTACATTTTTAATACCTTACTGTATTTCAATTTGCCAATTTTCAAAATAAAGTCTAGATTTCATGTATCTCTTTTTAAAAAGAGAGATAGTATCTTACAACAGTGGGCCTCTATTCCCAAACCAATAACCCAGAGGAGATGAGTGGTAGCCATCTTCTCAAGCTCTGTAGCCTGCTAGTCCCCACCACTCCCTATTATCGCCCTAAAATTTATTTTATCATACTTGTGCTATTGATTTTTCCTAGTGGAATTAAGAGGAAACTGGTACAATAGCAATACGTAGCCCCTTCCCCTCCCAAACAAAAGCAGTTCCTCTAATACGGAGATCTGGCATCTTGTAAGCCAATTCTAGCCCAAGAGTATTTTGTTTGGCCTTACATCCAAGTAAGCTTCAATTATTTGTGATCTGCCTCTGCAGAGATACTTGTTACCTCCTCTGGAAGTAGGTAGGGGAAAGAAGTATATTCAGCAAAAGAAAGCATGCCACTCAGTGGTAACATTATTTCTTACTTCCAGGGCAGTTTTATCCCCATGGAACTGCTGTCCCCAATGGCAGTGGCAAGAAGACAACCTTTCCCCTGCCACAGTCCCTCCGCGGCCTGCAACAGGCCTCAAGGTGCGCACTCACTCGGTGACGGTGTCCTGGAACCAGACCCAGAGCTCTGCACCTGATGGGGCCTGCAGGAAGGGTGGCCCCCAGTACCGAGTCCTCCAGAAGCCCTGAGTGAGGGACAGGTGCAGCTCCCGGAGAGAATACTTGGAGATCAACTGTCCCAGGGCTTTGGGGAAGAGCCTATAATGAGAAACTAGAGAAGGGGGAGCAGGTGAGAGGTGATCCTAGAGGGAGGGTTTCCGGCCACCCCAAAGAAGCAGTACACCCAAGCAAGGCTCTGGGATCAGAGAGATGTGAATTCCAGACCAGATTGCTACCAGCGATGTGATCTTAAGCAAGTGCCTTTACCTCTCCACACCTCTCATCTCTTCCTAGGAATCTTTCCCAGAACATAGCACCTAGTATAAATGGCAACCAGCAACAACATCACCAGTGTTGTCGACAGAGGGCTCCAACTAAAGTTCAGAGCGGCAGCTTGGAGCTGCGGGGCGAGCACTGGGCTAGCAGTCGCTGCCCCTCCCCGGACCTGAGTGTCATCAGCGGTACAATGGGATTCTTCAATCACGATCCCATCCTCCTCCCACGGGCCCAGTCTGTCCGCCTCCTCGCCCACGGACCAGAACCCCACCGGCGACTCGGCCCCTCCCGCGAGGCTTGCCCCCACCCGCTCCCGGCAGGTGTCACGGTTCTCTTTCTACGCCAGCGTCCCTCCTCTCACCTTCCTCGCGCTGCAGCTCCGAATCCCAGCGCGTGCGGAACTGGAACGTGGCGGCCACGTCTCCGGAAGGCAGCGGGGTGATGACGAGCTCCTCCCGCAGGCTGTCGCGTGGGGGCTCGGCACGGCCCCAGCCGCCCGGCCCCCGGAGCAGCAGCACCAGCGCGGCCAGCCGCACGGCTGCCGCCATGCCTGCGGCCGCTTCCGCCCCCCAACAGCGCCCGCCCCCACGGAAGGCCAGTCTCCAATCGGAAGAGCGTATGAGAAGTGACTTCCGGCACCATCCCGGAAACGGGAGTGCGGTTACCGGAGCAACGGACAGGCTAGGCCCTTTAGGGCTGGGCGCTGGGAGAGTGAGGAGGCTGGTGGGTCTGTGGGGTGGCTGGGTGCTGGATTGAGGATCCCCCCAATTTTGATGTAGCCCCACCCACGAGAAAGTGCTTAATAATACCGAATGCCTCTGTGGTAGTTGAGAAAACAGACTGATAAAGATTAATTACTTTTTCGAGGTAACAGGTCTGTGCTCCTGCTTCCCTCAGCTTCTAGTGTCTCCATTTGCTCTGTCCTAAAACTAGCCAGATTCTCCGGTGGCAGAGCTTTCCGGCAAACCCCCAAATAGCTGGCCCTTCTCTTATGAAAAATTTCAAACATACCGCAAAGGCGAAAGAATGAACACCTGTTTTCTCCTCACCTGGATTCCACCATTAACATTTTACTATGCTTGCTTCATTACATATCGCTCTGTAAATTCCTCAGCTCACTGTATGTTTTAATGCATAAATTGCAAGTTGGTCCAATGGTTTTGGGTCATTGTTAAGCTCATGAATGCATAAATTGCAGACATAAGTAACAAATATTTCAGCATTCATATCTTTAACTAGAGTTCAATATTTGTTTACATTTTTAGTGCAAAATCTACATACAATGAAATGCACAATGATGAAGGGAAAATTCACTGAGTCCAACAAATACATTCGCCTGTGTACCCAAACTCTTAAGATATAGAACATTCCTAAAGCCTGAGAATGTTGGCTAACGGCCCTTGCCAATCATTCCTCCTCCTCCCCAGCTTCGAGACAACCTCTGTTCTGATTTTTTCTTCATAGAATAAGTTAATCTGTTGCAGAGTTTCTTACAAATGAAATAATCAAGTAGCCCGTATACTTTTTGTATAAGGCTTCTTTAATGGCAAGAATATTTTTGAGGCCTAGCTAGTTTGCCTCAGTAGATAGAACATCAGCTTGCAGACTGAAGGTCCCCAGTTCATTTCAGGTCAAGGGCACATGCTCGGGTTCCGGGCTCCACCCCCATTAGCTGTGTGCAGGAGGCAGCTGATCAGTGGTTCTCTCTGATCATTGATGTTCCTCACTCCTCTCCTTTCCTCTCTGAAATATATACATATATAAAGGGTGCCTTTGAAATCGTGTTTTTGTATGTATCAGCAGTTTCTTTTTATTGCTGTATAGTATTGCATTATATTAATATATCATAGTTTATCCATTCTCCTATTAATGGACACCTGAGCTCTTTCAAGTTTTTAGTTATTATGAACTAGACCACCATGCAATTTACTTTGTAGACACATTTATCACTCACCTTGGGTAAAATTTTAGTAGTAAAGTGTAGGCTAGATGTATGTTTAATTTTTTTTTTCCTGTCAGTTTGTTCTTGGGCAACAGACCTATTCAAACTTTCTGCCAAATCACACAATTATAAACACCAAGTCATATTATTTTAGAACTAGAAAAGACATTAAAGATGATCAACACTCAGATTATCCAGCTAAGGAAATTAAGAGTGAGCAAGCACTGGCTGAGTAGCTCAGGTGATTAGAGTATTGACTCAATGTGCCAAATTTGGGGTTTGATCTCCTGTCAGGTCACATACAAGAAGCAACCAATGAATGCATAAATAAGTGGATCAGCAAAATTGATGTTTCTCTCTCCCTCCTGCCCCCCTTTTGTTTCTCTCAATTAAAGAGAGGGCACTGAAATGGCATGACCACAGTCAGCATTCCACTGGCTGCTGATCTTGGCAAAGTAAAGTCAGGTCTCCAACTCCTCTCTCTTGCTGTCCCTGCCCTTTATAGCGAATCTCTCCCAAGTGAAGGACTAATGTGCATTCAGCTGAAATGAATCTTGTAGCAAAAATTTCAGAATTCCTTTGCAACCTTTTTATTAAAAATCGAATAAATCAGGATCACTGGGTTTCTTTTCTTCTGCTTGGGGGTGTACCTCGAATAGCACACAGGAGTTAAGCCAACAGGCTCCGTCCGACTGCTGTAACCAAGGGAAATGGGAGGATCTGGGAGTCATTTTGTTTTCCATGTTTCCAGGAGGCGCATGGTAGGCGGACATTCTCTGGCCCAGGAAGCTTGGTACAAACTTCCTTTGCTTGTCCTGAGTACCAGAAAAAGCTCGACTGCTTGTAGCACCAAAAGATAACGTTTTGAATCTTGATTCTAAGTCACAAATATTATACGGTGTTTATTGAAAATATGGCAATTTGTACTAGAAAATTGTGGGGAAATATCTTTGCTCTTGTTGGAACTTCAAATATAGCAACTAGTATTTTTTTTTTAATTTCACAGTTTCTTTTCTTTTTTATTCAATTTATTAGGGTGATGCTGGTTAACAAAATTATACAGGTTTCAGGTGCACAATACTACAAATCATCTGTACACTGTGTTGTGTGTTCATAATCCAAGTCTTTAATTTTATAAGAAACTGCCAGACCTTTCTCCAAAATATATCATTTTATACTTGTACCAACAATGTATGTTTCTGGTCAACATTTGTTCTTTTTTTTTTTTTTTTTCTTTGCATTTTAGCCATGTGGGAATGTGTGTAGTAGTATTTCATTATGGTTTCAATTTGCATTTCCCTGGTACCTAATGATATTGAGCATCTTCTCATGTGTTTATTGGCCATTTCCTTTAGTGACAAGTGTATTAAAATGTTTTTGCACCCTCCCCTCATGTTTACTGGCTCGTTTGCCTTTTTATTATGGATTTGTAGAGGTTCCAGTGTTCTTGTTTTAGGTTTTCCAGCTGCCCTAGGGGATCACATTCACAGAGAATTTTGCACATGGTCTCTTAGTAAAATTCACCACCATTACTTCAATGAAGTGTCAGGCAGGTTTGCCAAGATATACCCCAACCAACCAGAGAGGACATGTCAAAAAGTGTCATTATCTCATTATGATGTCACTCTGCTCCCATCCAGTATTCCTGTCCCACTAGACATGGACTAGAAGGCCATGAGTTTAGATGTCAGACAAATATGGGTTCAAATCTCCCACCAGCCTTTACTCCATATGAGCATGAGCAACCTGAGTGTCACTTTCTCTCCTCTATAAAATGGATAAATCTACTTTCAGGGTTGTTGTAAGGATTCAAGGTGTGTACATGTAGGATCTGGAATGTAGTAATTGCTTAATAACATTTACTCAAACAACTCTTTGAGGTAGATGCTATATCCAGTTCAGAAATGAGAAAATTGTTTTAAGGTCACAGTGGGGGATGGAGCCAGGACTAGAGGCTACACTATCAATCTCAAAATTAAAAATTTTAAAAAGTGGCTGAAACCGGTTTGGTTCAGTGGTAGAGCATCGGTCTGCGGACTGAAAGGTTCCAAGTTCGATTCCGGTCAAGGGCATGTACATTAGTTGAGGGCACATCCCCGGTAGGGGGTGTGCAAGAGGCAGCTGGTCGATGTTTCTCTCTCATCGATGTTTCTAGCTCTCTATTCCTCTCTCCTCCTCTCTGTAAAAAATCAAAAAAAATAAAAAATAAAAAAGTGGCTGCCATCACTATGATTATGATTTTGTTTTCTATGCTTTCTTTCTTTTTTTCAAGACCCAGAGAAGTCTTGCCTTCGCCCTCTCTAGTGTGCTCCAGTCCTCTGTGCACTTCTGCTATGGCCCCCATTACATTTCCATTATCCTTGGCCATGGCTGCTCCTGGAAGAACTCTTGGTTGCCTTGGTATTTCTGTTGCCTAAGCCAGGAGGCTAGCTGGTATATAGTAGGTGCTCAGTAATGTTGAACGAACACACAAGACAACATCATAGCACAGTTCCATGTTGCCTCACCCTCTAGTGCTGTTCACAGTATCAAGTTCCGTGCCCTCCTGGGGACTGCTACAGTGAGCCTTCCAGGGAATCTTCCCCTGCATTGTGGTCTCTCCTCCTCACACAGGTCTCTATAGAATGAGTTTGTCTTCTTTCCTCCTTTCCAGCCTATGATTAGTTTGTACAGAAGAAACCACACTGTGGCTGAGAGACTAAAGGCTGGGCTGTTTGCTTCGGAGTTGGCTCCAAATCCTCCTCCCATCTCCAAGGGCACTGTGTGGCCTGAAGCCAGCTGGAGATGCTGGCTCAGAAGGCCAGCCAAGCCCCTGCGGTTTGGCAGAAGAGGTCATTGTCCAACCAGGAAGTAGTCCTGGGGTCTCAGCTGACCCTAGACTTTTCCAGGCAGGGCTGAGATTCAGAACAGCTGAATGAAGACTCCCCATCGGTTCACAAACACGTCTACCTCTCCAGAGGGCTGTATACAGACCCCTCTTCCCAGGCAGACTCCCTGTTCAAGCCCCACAGATCCTCGCATCACATGCCTGGGTACTAAGAAGTTTGTTGACATACAGCAACCAAGCCAGTCTAGCTCCCCATCACTCATCTTGGAGGGGCGTTCAGTGATCCCAGGAGCTAAGAACCCCTGCATAGCAAAGCTGCAGAGCTTATGGGCTGCAGCCCAGGAGAATGAACAGCCACAGTCAGACAGGAGGTTGAGCCTTGCTGCTCCAAAGGAAGAGAGAAGGCACAAGAGGACAGATGAGACCATGTGTACAGCATAGTTATAAGCAACCAAAGAGAACTGCACAATTTAACATGATACTGGGCCCTAACCCAACTTACTGGATGATCTCAATTTGGATACAGAGGCTTTTAGACAAAAGAAACACAAAACTCCCACAAGTTTCTCCCTAGCGCTAGGAAAAGACAAGAACTGTCGCTTACAATGGTCTCCTGCAGGGGTGAAAGCAGGATGGAACTATGGGAAGACTGAAGCCCTGTCACTCAGCCTCGGTGACACAGAGAGCTTTGGGATTTAGGCTAAAGGTCACTGTTCCATGGCTAGTGTTTGATGTCTGAAGAAAGGGTGGCATGATTTGCTTTTTCTAAAGTGAGAAAAGACTTCATGTCCCTTAAGGCTGAATCCTATAACCCCTTCTT